ACACACACACACACACACACACACACACACAAATACACACAGCTCTGGAAACCTGCCCACAAGACAACAAAGTCCAAGCCACAAAACGTGTAGCTCTCACACTCACCCTTCCCCACCCCCTCCCCAAACTTCTCTCAGAAAAATAAGGTTAACGTTTTCAATGCAGTGGTTACCAGAGAGGGGATCAATCTGAGAAAGATTTAAAAGCTTAAGCGTAATCCAGGAAGCAATAACTGTCACTCCAGAAAAATACAACCTGAGGGCATTACTTCCCCCCATAAACTCACTTTGTTCATTTTTCTGTCATCATTTTTTTTTTTTTTTTTTTTGGTCATTGGAGTTGTTACTCTTTTGGCCATAAAAGGACATAGATATTGTAAATATCTCACAAGCAACAAAACATTTTAAACCCCCCCCCCCAAAAAAAAAGAACTTTCTTTCATAATCAAATAGATTGTTAGAAATGTTTTCAGCTTTATAGTAAAGACAATCTTTAGTGACATAAAAGAACAGTGGAGAAAAAAGAAGGAAAGAAGAAGAAAAAAAAACATTTCTAAACCATGCCTAAATAAACCCTGAATTCAGTAAGGCATTTTGTCAGGAGGCAGGAGACAGGCACAGTGTAACTTTACACTGAACAAGCCTCCAGTTTCTCTAACTTAAAGTTAGATTTAATTCCTTTTGAGATGAACACACTGTTACTTTTTTCCTTTCTGCTAACTGAGAGATAAGAGCATGAAAAAACTTTTAAAAACATTGTTAATGGTGCAGGGGAAATCAGACAGGTGTTACTATAACTTTTTCAAAGTAGTAACAGGAAGCAGAACATTTGAAAGGTAATACCAAATCTTAGTTCTGTTAAAGTATCCATTTCCAGTATCCCACACACATATGGCCCAACTATCCAAGGCTGTTGAATAAAGTAGTAATAGTATATCCTTTAGGCATTTATTTGCTTTGTAGAGACTTTGACAGCCTTTTATTAAATTATCTAAATTGTGTCAGGGCTGCAAAAACACTACATTTTTAAAAAGATTAAAAGAGACTTTTTCATCCATGATTTGAAATGGGTGTTCAAATGTCTTTGTTTGGGTGTCTTGACATTTTCGCCTGACTGTAAATTTAACTGTCTTATAATGTGTCAGGAAACTCTAAAGCCTTACAGAGCTCATGATGGGTAGGTTAGGGTGGTATTGCTTTGCAAAGTAGAAATCAATTTTTGCAAAGGTGTGTGTTATGTGAACGGACTTTTTCTACGATATCATTCAAATGAACAATATACATGATGCAAAAAGAGTACAACTTGTGAAGTACGTGGGTATATCAAAGGCAAACTCTAAAATACTTTCCAAAGCAGAAACAAGGAGTGAACAGAAGAGAAGGCCGCTTATTTCTCTTTCTCTAATCAACTCATTCTCTTTCTCTAATCAAGTCATTCAGTTGCTAACCACAGCTGTTCAACTAGCCCGGAAACCGCTCCTTTAGTTGCTCCATGCCAGCGGCCAGTGTCACCCCCATGTTAGTCATTAAAGCAACGGTCAGCGTGCTCACTGCCGTGATGCCAGCGGCATGCCCATGCCTGCCCGCGTAATGCAATTCCTCCAGATTGCGGTGTCTTTCCCACCCCGATATCTCAAGATCTAAAGACGCTATATCACCACATGACCCCCCACCCCCACCCCCCATTTTAAAGCTCAGCTTTTCCCCTACAAGACGATATAAGTTTGGTCGATCTCACAAATCTCAGTTCACAATCTCGATTTTATTGGACTATATTCTCCTAGTTGTCTTTCTACCAAATCGGATTCCATTTTCCGTGCTATTTAATTTAAACGTATATAACTTCGTAAACTGACCAACGGTTTCAATTCTTTTTACCAATCTAGTTGGGATAGGTATATACTGTACAAACCGTGCAAGTTTCAACTTTGTGTCGTTTTTCTGTGATTTAAAATTATTTTTTTTAATGACATGATAGATCTAGACGTACTCCTAGACGTGTTTCCATGGAATCGGATTCCATTTTCAGTGTTATGTGAATTTAAACGTGAACAATTTCGTAAACTGACCAACAATTTCAATTCTTTTTACAAATCTAGTTGGGATACGTACACTGTACGGTTGTAGTGTAAGTGCAGACACCTTGACGGATGATACCCGCGATCCAAGAGTTGTCACTTGTGACAGCTGGACTTGGGAAACCGAGGCCAAATTACGAAAAGCTGTGAATCTTCACTCAAGACTCAATATCTTTGCTTTAGGGAACGACACAAAGATGAAGCAAAGTGAGTTTGAAACTTTATTCAATTTCTGACGCAATATCTTAAAACTGTCAACATCTTCCGCAACTATCATGTTCAAATTTAATTAAATAAATCATGACCCTCTATCAATGTTTAAACATGTATCTACTTTTCTTTCTTCATCTCGTATTTCTTTATCTTTGCAGTGGCCACATCACGGGCAACGGTTTTGGCTCACCGGATAAACTACGTGAGTGAGCCTTCGGGC